TTTTTTAAGGAAGTTACATGGATAAGTTCCTATCCTACTCTTTATAGTGGCTGTAGGATGCTGTGTGAACGTAACTCTTGGATAAAGATTTCCATGGGACTTGTGACTTTGGGTTCTCAACTGCAGACACCTACAGGATACCTCCCTTCTTCCCAGCTTCACTTCCCCTTCTCCAAAATAGTGCCCCCAATAATGGGTGATTGGCTCTAGAAAGTAGAAAGCACTTGAAAGTTTCTTGAATAGAGAATCTGGTATCTCTAGTGAGCGTCTTGAAAAATTCAATGCAAGTATTTTCTGTAGCTTTTCCTGAGAGTCCAAATCACTTCAGCATGTCCAATGAAATTTTACAAAGCTTGTATACTTCTCTTGTAGGTTTTCCTTGGGTGTCTGAAATTTTCTTGATGTATAAATTTAAATCCTAAAAATTTTTTTGTATAATTTTGTAATCATACAGGCCGCACAGCAAAACAAACTTTACATGATAGGGTATAGCATATAGATCTCTGTCCTTTGTTGGAAATACAAGTGGGGCCTTAACTCCTATAAACAGGCAGTAGCTTTTGAAACATATTCAGGCAATAAATAGAAATTAGAATCCAGGTTACTTTCCGTTCTTCGGTGCTGAACAATGTCTCATGCACAGAGAGCGTCCTTCTCTGCCTGAGAGTCATTGAGCTTGCACTATTCTTTTACATTTGAAAATCTGTTATCTAGAAGAACTCAGTAAAATAGTATGCAAGCCATATGTCTTTGTAAAACATGCTGCTTTAGAGATAAAATAAAGGTGCTGTTAGGGGAAGCACCATGTTGAATACTTGAGTGGACATTAAGAAACATGAATGCAAATGAACCAAAATTACTGAGTGAAGAATCACTGAATGAGTTTCTTTCTTTGTGATTTTAGGGTAGATGTAACTTTTCATTTTTTAGATCAAGCCTGTGGAAAACATATCTATATATAATAATCTGTGTTTCGTAGTACATGTGTTCCATTTTGGTAGAGAGAGTGCATAATCTAGTGATTCCATAGTACATCGCTTTCTGTGATCCAACCTATAAGACTTTCTCTGACAAAGCTGACAAGCAAGATTCTGTCAACAGTATATTTAAACACTATTTTATAAGTCTTATTCATTTGTTAGCTTTTTAAACGTGGAAAACAGAAATATTGAGCTGTTTTTAAGTTGCATTATTTTTCTTATTCCAATGAAATGTAGCTTGATACTTGGCAAACTGGATTAGTTGCTTTTGGGTGATTTAACTCAAGAGATGAAAACAGAATTTTGAGTGTTTGCGTTCAGAATTCTGGGTCTGTGATATAGCTGCGTAACTTGGTTCGACTTTTTCAGAAAATGGGTATTTTTAAATGGACAGGATAAGAAGTGCATTTTGGCATAAAGAAAAGTGATCCCAGGGTAGTGTTTTCTCACATTTATGAGAAAGCAAACATAATTTAGGGAGAGGTCTACAGACGAAATGCCTCTGAAATATTTCTCATGCTCAGTTTTTTTTTTCCTGCAGTCTTTAGAAATGTATAAATAGTGTTAATGCCTAGTGATACAGAAAACACAAATGCAAAGAACGCACACAGGATTGGAAAGAAAACTTTTAGATATCCTTGTAAAATGCTTTCAGAGTAATTTAATCTGATGGTGAAAAGAATGTGAATTTACATTCTGGTGTACCCTGATGCTTTTTGGTCTGTTTGCGTTTCGAATAATTTTTCAAGTGTTAAATTATTTATAATTTAATAAGTATTCCAAAACATAGTATATGCTAATTTTTTTTTTTTTTGTAATAACATCAACATCCATGCATCATCAAGTAAATATTGGCATTATTTTTAACTTCCCTGTGAGCCTTAAAAAAATCTGATTATGCAAAAGTACTTCAAGAAGTTAGGTTACATCAGGCTCTAGTTTTGCTGTAATGACGTGCCTTCTCGTGTCTGCTAGTGCACTGGAAGGCATAAAGCTGTGAGAAGATTCTTTATAATCTTGTTTCTTGGAAAGTTACTATTCTTATAAATAAAAAATGATGAGAGCCACTTAATAAATTTTTATGTGTTCTATAAATTATTTGCATTTTCTAAAATATGAATTTGCTTGTTAAATTGAAGGATAGCTATTTTTTATAGTAGTAATTCTTATTCCTGTAAGTCAGTAGAACCTGCACATGTGTTCAAGGAAATCCCTGATCTTCCTTTTAAGAAGTACTATCATTGTGGTCAATAAAGCGATAATATAACCTGAATATAAAATGAAACAGGTAGATCCAAATGAATGTGTATGTGTATATAAAATTATTTATGCCAAAGCAGAACTTCTTGCATTTTAAATTATTTTGTTAACATATTTCTAACCCATCACTGTGTGATTTATATTGAGCTATTGAATGTGACCTGAGAACAAGAAATCTTTGTGATATTATTTCCGACTTGTCTTTTGTAGGTCTTTTTCCTGCTTCCAAATTTTTTTTTTTAAAGTTTAAAAAAAAAATTTTAAAAACCCCACATTTGAAAATCTGTGTATCTTTCCTTCAGAAACCATTCCTTCTTTCTACTCAGAAGGGATTACAGAATGGTCTTGTTTTGTTTTTTCTTTAGAAGAATACAGTATAGTAATTCTTTTGTGTTTAACACTTAAGAACTCCCTATTGCCACTGCAAAAGGGTGTGACTAGTTTATCCAGATTGGCACATTTTTTGTGCAAATCAGCAAGATCTGAAATCTATGCATTCTTCTTATGAGTATGCGTCACTGGCTAGTAAACTGCTTTCCAGTTATAAAAGAAAGCAAATGAAGCTGTTGATAAAGCAAAGGCAATAGATACAGGACGGACACGTTTTGATGCAGGAGTTTCGTAGCAAACATTGCAAGACAGACAGTTAAAACAGTCTGTGAAAATCTGTTGAAACAGAAAGTGAGAATCTAAAAGGATTGTCTTTTAGTAGTAGTATATGCCGACAGAAACTTAATGACATGCCTCTGCTTTTGATTAGAAAAATAGTGAGTGATACTGGTATTATGAGAGTCTGACAGCACTGAGAAGCAGGCAGGTTTGCCTATGCAAATTTCAAAAAATAGTTGTGCATTTTCGTGCAGGTCGCCATTGTAGCACAGTCCAGATGTATTGCAACTCTGCTATTCTTATGGCTGGATTTTATATTTTTTTCCAACAGAAATATTAAACTATATGGTGGCTTTTCTTATTTAGGTGAGTCCAATATAGGCAAAGGCTGAGGAGGATGCTTTTATTGCAGTTGTGGCCAATTCTGACAGTAAGGCTCAAATCTCCAGAGTAAAAAGCTGTAAGCAAGTCTATTTGAAGAGGACGATATTTTCTTTCTTGAGAGACATAGAAACAAATGAACACAAACTACTTAATACTGGGCCAAGAAGCACGTACACTTGTTAGGTATTTTCACTTTTGAACTTGCAGTATCTGCCTGATTAGGGGATTGGGACCTCAATGTTGTATTTTAAAATGTGTTGCTGGTAACACATGAAAAGTTTGTGATTCATGTTGAGTTTAATTTTAAGTTACTTTTCTTAGATGAGAATAGCAGCTCTCATGCACTTACTGAAAACTAATATGGTACTGCTGAATTAACTGTGGGTCTTGAAAAGGTTTCCATTGCAGCGAGTTAGCCATAGATCCTTCTAAAATTTTGGTCCTAATGCTGTTTGACTAGCCACAGTGTATCTGTGAAATACCTAACATGGTAACGTTTTATCTTCTCATCTCTGCCCTCATCTGAGAGTAGTTACTCATCTGCCTGCTACTTTGTGAGCTTTTACACTCAAAACCTGTTCTGAGTGCTATGCTGGACTCTTGGGTTTTTCTTTGGTTCTGTTTTTGAAGAAGTTCAGTAGCATGAATTTTATTGCATGCACAGGTAGTGCATTTTCTACAGATTCCTTTGCCATAATAAATAACCATAAGAATGGGATGAAAGACTTGCAGTAACTTTTTCCTCTAATGATTGCTGTACTTGTATTTTCCGTTTATTTCTTATTTTCCCTGTAAGTTTTATATTGGTATCCAAAGTTTTATATTAATGTTCAAACTTTTCTGCCTAAAGAACTAATTCTGCTTGCTGATACAATTTCATTAAAAGTTGGCAAAATACTGCCTCTGTTGGGTGCATGTTTATTTGGATATATTGTAGTAGTGTAAAGAAAAGGGTAAAAAGGGACAGATCATTTTCAAGCAATCAATATTATATTTATAAAACTGTAAGTTAAATTGCCTTTTGTTGATGTTAACATGCTGATTGCACCTTTTTTTTCTGTAGCGTTGAGAGGATTGAGGTGGCATTCTAAGGTCATTTAAAATCATGACAAGCTCAGTTGGACAGAAAAAAGTCTCTTCAAGACAAAGGAAGTGTGGTTTTTGTAGATCTAATAAAGATAATGAATGTGGACAATTATTGATGTCAGAAAACCAGAAGGTGGCAGCACATCACAAATGTATGGTAAGTAACCCATAGAAAAAAGGAAAGGAATGTAGTGAGCTAGTAAAAGACTACAAACGAATGAAAAATTCAACCAGCTGTGGCATTGGCACAAATGATTAATCACTGTAATTTGAAATTTTGTGGGTTTCATATATATAAATGTTCTACATCACTTATGCCCTTAAAACTTAACAAATAAGTTTTGTTTTTATAATTTTAGCTGTTCTCATCTGCACTGGTATCTTCACACACTGATAATGAGAGTCTTGGTGGATTCTCTATTGAAGATATTCAGAAAGAAATAAAGAGAGGCACTAAACTGGTAAGTCTCTATTTTTGGTTCTTGGAAATGGATACTTTCTTACCTTCTATAAAGTTTACCATGAAATTGTATATATGTATTTCTTTTTTTTAAAGTGCTACCTTTGTGTGAGCTCTAAGGTAACGGACAACTTATAGAAGAAGATGTTGAAGTAAAACTGGTCTCAGATTTACGAAAAGAAAACCTCAGTACATATGATTGTACTTAAATTGAAATGAAATTTAAATGTCAGTTAACAAACCCTTGAAGTGCCTTTAGGAAAGGATAAAAAGTAGCTTGTTTATTTCAGCCAAGTTCTGCTCTCATGTAAACATGTTGTTTTAAGAATTGTAGCTTAATCATGGAATTATTAAAAAATAAATCCAGAATTATTATTTTTACAGTCACTTTTCTCCTCACAGAAGCAAATGTAGATGGTTGTAGCAGATATGCGTTTTTTCCAAGTAAATTTGAAAATTCATTTACAGAATATGCCCATTTTTCTTTTTCATGGACTGCATATAAACAATAGCATTTTCTAAATTTATGTTTCTAATCCAGTAATTTCTATTTAATATTTTCTGTTAGATTTCAGAAAGAAACCCACATTCTAGGGACCTGGAGAGGGTATTATTGTGCCTTTACCAGTATTTGGTTTTGCTGCCAAAATCTGGTTTTAACTACCAAAGGTACTTTTATTGCTTCCTTTTATATTGATTTAATAGATGATTCTCTGAATATAGACGTCTTATGAGGTATGTGGGTACAATAGTGATTACAGCTCTACCAAATTCGTGAGAATTGAGCAGCAATGATTTTTTTTTAATTCCCGAAAAGCTAATTCAGGATTTTTTTTTTTTTTTTTATTTAGAACTAGTTGTTTTTCACTTGGGGAAATGAGTGAGGCTTTTTAAAAATCTTTTTAACAAACGATCAATTCACTCCTCGCATTAAAAATTTTCAGCTTAGTTGTTTAAAGCACCCTTATGTATTTACCAATTCTTGGGCTACTAAGAGTAGTCCGAAGAATTATTGTAGAACCACAATTATATAATAATAGTCTAATATTTCATCCAGGGTTTCATTTGAATCTTTTCCAACGCAGGGAACTTTATTTGCTCTAATTAGCTGAAGCATAAAGAAATAACTATTCACAAGCCATTCAAGTTGTGATTAGGAATTTCCAAAGAACATGGTAGTAAATGGATCATAAAGAAACTTTTTGATTCTTGGGTCTCTTCAATGTTTTTTGAAGGTTATTCCTTTTTATGTCACTGGTGGTTTCTGTCTTTCTGCTTCTGAGTTTCTTTATGTTCCTTCGCTGATGCAACAGCTGGGTATATTCTTGGAGCTCACTAGCTGTACGTATCAGGCACTTTGTTTAGCTTTTTGCAGAAAACTTGGATCTGGTTAACCTAGTAGATTCATAGTCCTGAGATGTTTCCTGTTTGGAGAGAATTTACATGATAATTTTAGATCTCTACTTAGGTGCCTTATCTCTGTCCGTAGCTGTCAGAAAACTACAGCTCTGAATCACTCTCCGGAGGAATCTGTCTTTCTCCATTGATTTGTATAGGAAGCTTAAAGCTAAATGTTTATAGTTAGCCCAAATTACCCCCTCTAAAGTCTGCTTTCTGTTCTAGCCTGTTCTTTTATGTGGGAACACATTGAGCAAAAATATCTCAGTGCAGTGCACTGGGTTAAGTAATCATATTGATAGCTTGGACTAAATTTGTCTGCTGACAGATTTTACGTAGTTGCTCTCCTTCAGGAGGTGCTGACCGGGTATGCACTGAAAATTGAGGCCTATTCATTACTGAAGTGATAATGACTGACATGTAGAGCCTTTTTGATGGTAATATATATTTCTGTCTGAGAAAAGTTTGTAGGTTCAAACCTTAATAGGCCAGTCATAAAAAGTTGTGAAGTCTAAACATTTGGGAGTACAAGGCACTGATATCATGATTATTTCTGTTAGCTGTGCATGGGAGGATTTTTTTTAAAGAGCTTACCTATTTTGCAGCTTGTCAAACTTCACATATACCTGATATAACTTGGGAATTAATTAATCTGTTGACAGTGACCATTTGGACAGCAGGACTTGTACCAATGGAATAAATATTTTATTACTGTCAGGAAACGTAAACCAATAAATCAATACAAAAAATTCCTATGATCTGTTTTGTTCATACAGATACATCATAGTGTTCATGAAAAGAAAGTTTTCTTTTAGTCATTTCTGGCTCTAAAAATCCTGAAGTACTGACTAAAATGGATTGGATGGATATAATTTCAACCTAGGCTTTTATAAAGAGCTTTGATCGGCCATTATTATGTATTAAGCCATAACATATAACAAATTTATGAGATAAAATACCCATACAAATTAGATGACAACTAGGGAATGGTATATAACTATACCATTTCAGAGCTTGCAGAGGAGTAAATGGAGATGATCCAAGGCTTTGACATTCTTACTGTTCAGTTAACTTTGTTAAAATTGAAAAACAGGATGATGATACATAACTCTGGTGATATATTTATTTGGTATATTTGAAACTAACAAGAACTTGAGTGAGCTAGTGCGGTGGGCCGAAAGTGTATTCCACAAAGATATATTTAAGGAATATCGTACATTGCACGCTTATCGTTATGAATTTGCAATTAATCTTTAGGGGGGGTGGGCAAAGTGCAGGATACAAACAAAAAGCTCCAATTGTCTTGTGAGGGGAGTTTAATGGGAAATTCTGAGATTTTTGGGCAATATTATGTTGGTAGAAAATAGTATAGAGAAAAATATTGTTATAATATCAATTACTTCCTTTCCTAACATAGTATGAGAAGAGCAGTGAACAATTTAGAAGCATGATAGTTGTTGTGTCCTAAGCAATGATGAGTCTAATATGAGAAGAATGAATTATTGGGAAAGAAGAGTAAAGCAACAGGCTCCCATTTAACCTTTTCTGCAATATAAGTATGAAGAGCAAAATTTAGTATAATTGAAATAAATTCATTGTATTTAACAAATATTTCACTAAATTCAGTGTTTTGGAAATAACTTAAGGAAATAATTGTATAGAAAAAAGAGGTATAGTTAGCTGCTGAGGCTAGCGTAAATTTGCAGATAATCAGTATTTCTGACTCTGCAAGGTTCATTGCCAAATGGCTGTCTTTTTCTTTTTCTCCAACCTTCAGACTATCCTTGGGAGTGGTATATTTAGGTAAATAACTGTGGCACTTTCATCAAACACATGATATTCCACAAAAGTAAATTACTTATTTTCTTCATTGAATTAATAATCAATGTATGATGGTTATTGTATTGTTGCATAATTGCAACAAATTTCTCCTTGATTTTAAAATAAATTATGAAAAATACCTGAGAGCAGGAAGAGTAATGCCAAGTGCATAACTCAATTTATTTTGTCACCAGGAGGGGTAACTATTATTTTTAAACTCAGAAACACTAAGCCAACAGTAACATGAATTGTGCTTTCTTTTTCTTTACAGATGTGCTCTTTATGCCATTGTCCTGGAGCGACCATTGGCTGTGATGTGAAAACATGTCACAAGACATATCACTACTACTGTGCTTTGCATGATAAAGCACAGATAAGAGAGAAACCCTCACAAGGCATTTACATGTAACTATTATTTATTTCTATGTTTATTTTTGTATTTATATTTCACATTCTTTGTTTAAAAAAAAAACAACAACAACAAAGCAAAACAAAAAACCACTTTTGGAATCTAAACAAAACTTGCAAAAAAATTCTAATGATGATTGTGGCATTCAAAATAGTGATGTGCTAGAAAAGCATATTTTCACTGCAAGATTTGTATATCAGTGAGTCTTACAAGTGGGAGAAAAATGTACTGGCATTTAAATTTAAAAGATGAGTAAATAATCTGTGAATCGTGACTGACTTGACAGTTTTCAACTACTTTGTTTATAGGATTTTATGTCGAAAACACAAGAAAACTACGCATAACTCTGAAGGTAAAATTATTCAATATAAATTTTTCCCATTGTAGAAAGATACTTTGGTTAAATTTAATTTTTTTGGAGAATATAAATGTTTTCAGTAAAAATTAGAACTACATTTTTTTGAGAAACAATGAGTTTGGAAGCCCATCTGATTTCTGTATTTTCTCTAAAAATTATTGTTTGAGGTGGAGAAAAACCAAAACAAATTTTAGGATGTTCGAAAGATTTGATGTTCTGTCAAAACAAAGTTTCGGTAGAAGTAATGCATTCCCTTCTGGGAAGAAGCTGGCTTATATTTGTAGTTAAATATTCACAATATTAACATCTAAAATATTTTGTCAGGTAACAGCTGATTTTTGCTATTGCTAATGTTCCTAAATATTCACTATTCCTAAATATTCCTTTTTTGAACTATTAAATAGAGTTTAACTCTTCAAATAAGAAGGACCCAGTAGTAAATGAAAAGGTTTGTGATCAGATCACTTGTAGATATATTTCTGAGTAATTTTGATAAACAAAAAAAGCTATATGGATGCATTCGTAAAAGCTGTGCATCTTTGCAGAGGAGAGTAGTGAAATGCGCGAGGGGTGATATGCCACAAACGTAGATAAATCATGTGGTCTGTTAAAATTCCAAACTAGTTGTGCTGTTGTGTATTTATGCAGGTATTTTTCCTTTTTCCTGTTTTCTACTGTATCTGAATTTGGGTAGGCGAACAGTTGTTAGTCGCATCAGATTTAACTAATGAGGAGTACGTGACTCTTTATTTAGTGAAGATCAAATTTCATAAATTACTTCAGTTTCTTTCTGCCAAATGTATTTTTAAGCTCATATACTACTATTTATGCTATGAGTAGTAGATATATTAATGGTAAGGTTTGGATGTTACTTCAATGTTCAGAAAGATATTGAAGACAGTAGAAAATCCCAAGTGAAAACTGGTTTTTTTTCAGTCTATTCAAATAATTATTGTCGTATGCTTTGTATAAAACACACTCTGGTTTTGCTATTACTAGGTTTAAACAAGAAAAGCAGTATACGTGTAATATTAATTCTCCAAAGAGACAGGGCCACATTATCTTGTAGTTTGGCTCTCTGTTTCTTTGTTTTGGGGGTTGTTTTGCTTGTTAGCAGAAACAGAATATGAAAGACATTTGAGTCCAGAGAGAAGTTAATCTCTTTGACTGTATTTAAACATAATCTTCTATACTTATTCACAAATGGCTCAGTGACATCTATTTGACATCTATTGAAAAATGCCTCCAATTCTGCATGGAACCCAATGCCAATGGACGACTTTTTCTGCTTGGAATTCCTTGCAGGATCTGAACTTGTGCTTTTCTTTAAGAGTTTTCAGAAACCATTATCTCCAATCCTATGATGTCATTCTCTGACAGCAAAGGCTTTTAAATTTTATGTGGATATATTTGTCTGAGAAGACATGGGAAAAATTACTAGAGGCATAGTGGCTTTTTTCTTAAATGTTGATGATGGCAGTTTATTAAAACATTAAACTAGACTCATCCAAAGAGACTTCTAGATTGAGGGTAGGAGAAGGAGGAGTAAACAACATCATTCAGAAAAACCAAGGCCAAAGAACCCAATAGTATCTTACTTAGCATTTAACTTTGCACTATTTTTTTTTTGTTTAAAATATTTAGTTCTGTTATGCTTTACACTTCTGGAAATATGTGTAGCTATACTTCACATTTTTGTTTTCTGGGTTTTGTTTAATATTTGACTGAAATTTTACCCAGTGCTCTCTCCCAAAGAATATGTTCTCTTTTTAGTCTATACAGTTTTGGGAACTATACCCATAGAATATTATTACTTACAGTTATGGATTTGATAATGCCAGAAGATGGGGCTCTTTTGTGATAGACCTTCTTTAAACCAAAGAAAGTAAAAATTCATATTGCATCTGTCTTATGGAAATGACTTAGAGCATTTTATAGCAATGGTATTTTGCTGCACTGAAAACTAATTACGTTTAGAAGACAGAAATATACTGTGGTTTTCAGAGTTCAAGAAGGGGCTTTGAAGGGTTTGTTTCTTAATATTTAAATGCTGAAATTTGCTCAGTGAAATGGTAACTGGAAGATATTGGATGGTGAGATTAAGCTTTATATATGTATTTTGTTGGTTTATTTTTTGAGAAAAATGTGAATATCAAAGAGGAATTCAAATGTGAAAGAATGGTGGTGTGTGAAACCAGAAAGGACTTGCAGAGAAGAGTGACTAGACTAGCTAGGGATACTAGATGCTAACATAATGACTTTTTTTGTTCTCTTGTTTTTGTTTCATTTTCATGAGTTCTTGCTCTCAGCAGTGTTTTCATACCAGAATAGTTAAAGCTCATCTGTGGTTATGTCACTCAATGTAGGTGACAGAGGCACTGGAATTATCCATCCTTTTTGATGGAAACTTATTGCTTCTGCTCTGGGATGCTGGTTTTTTTTTTTTTCTTGGTCAGTGTAGAATATCTGGGGTTTTATCCTTTGTTCTCTGTATCCAGATTTAATTGTTGCAGTCCAAATGTTTTTATTATGTCATGTGTATTAGTGGATGTTGGAAGAGTTTTTAGGAGTGTTTGGTTTGGTGCAGTCAGAACAGTTTATTTTTTGCAGGCAGTACTGCTGCATAATAGTGAGATTTTTCCTTTCCTTCCCTAGAAAATAGATGCTTTTGGGGGCATACTTGTTCAAGTCTGAGATCTGGTTAATCTACCTTTTGTTAGAAGGTCTAGTTTAAAAAGAATATCTGTTAACCATTTAGTAACAGTTAAAGAAAATTTCTTGAGGCTGCATGGAAATATGGTTGAAGGACTTATGTTGAAATTGAAGTTACCCAGTTAAAACCTAATAAGAAAGACCTCTTAGATGTTATTTATTGCTGTCACGAAGTTCAAGTGGTGTGAGAATTCATCAGACTAAGTATCTCTACTCATCAAGACAAAATTAATGAGTGAGGAGTTGCTGAACTCCCTTCTGTTTTCTCTGAATATAAAAATATGAAACATGGCAGCAAAGTATCGTGCTCTTAAATTCATTATCTGTTTCAGCAGATTGTTGGGTTTGTCTAATTTATCTGTATGGCCTAGCCTTCAGGTGTCATAGAATAGGATAATTGTATTTCTCCTATATTTCCTTTGTGTATATGTATTTCAGAGTGATTATTCTGTGCTGTGTTCCCACTAACTGGAAAAAGGACAGTAAACATGAGGTTCTCTTACACTTTGTACTAGGCTGTGGCTGTGAGGTCAACAGATTTGAAGACACCTGCTCAGAGGAGCAGACCAAGTTACTGAAAGCTTCATGTCTAGATTTTTGTCTTGCTAGTTACAAATCTAACACAATAATCTGACCTGAACTTCAAGTAATAGTTTAACTCATAATTTAGGCAAGCTGTCTAAGTTTTCAGTATCTAATACGTTACAGGAATTAGTGCCAGTGCTTTCAAACTATCACAGCTAACTATTAGTTGAATTACTGTTCAGTTTGATACAATTGCATTTATTCTTTTTGAAGAATAGAGTGTTGTTGAACTAAGGTTTTGGAGCTGTTTGTTAGAATTTATTCCAATATACTGGAAATAATTGTTGAAAAATCTAAAATCTAAAATCTTTCAGTTCCCTGCAGGTGGGGCTGCCCTGGCCCCTGTGTTGAATTTAAAACAAATTCAGCTGATCAGGAATAGTTTAATATAAACTAAGATAAAAATGTAATTTCATTCTTCTGTAACATAGTAGTAAAACAAAGAATAATAAAGACAGCCATGTGACTATCTATAGTTAATGTTTAAAACAGATGCTTGGGAACTGTGGGGTCAGAAAATAGTGTCCATAATTCCTATTGTAGCTGTACTCAAAGCCTCAGGGAATTATGTTTCCACAATGGAAATAAGGACATTCCCTGTCTCAGCATCCTTTTCATGTTATTCTAAAGATCAAACACGAAATTTATGCTTTTCATACTGCTCAGTAAGTTGAGTCAGGATGATATTTCTCTGTGAGGCCTATTTAGAGATGCTGCAATCTATATCAAACCGAGTACTTTTTTCAAAGCGCTGTGTAAGCCAGACACTGGCAGAAAAAACATCCGAAACTTTCTGGCATTATAGTTAGGTAATATCCTGATTCATCTTTGGATTCTTTAATCAGTTTTTGTTCATAGTTGCATTTTCTGTAACACTGTTCACAGCTGCTGTGTAAGCCAGACACTGGCAGGAAAAACATCCAAAACTTTCTGGCATTATAGTTAGGTAATATCCTGATTCATCTTTGGATTCTTTAATCAGTTTTTGTTCATAGTTGCATTTTCTGTAACACTGTTCACAGCATAAGCTTGCCTAACATTGTATGCATTAATGCAGTCAGGTATAAAAGTTTCCGTAACATTGCAGTTCGGTGTCGTTTCAGTTCTGCTGGTGGATGGTAGCAAATTCTTCCTAGGCTCTGCTAACTCAGCCTTCTTGTTGCCTGTCTTATGGAGAATGCTGCTGTGAATGTGGCTTCAAATGTATACCTAGTGTTACGACAAAAACAATTGGTCCAGACAGTAAGTTAGCAATCTCCTATGCAGTCCATTATAGACAATGAGGTATTTTGCAGAAACATCACAATGGTGTTTTCTTATGGAAAATGCACAGCTAATGGAAAAGGAAAAAATGTAAAAATAATGTGGTGAATGGTTTGTCCTATCTGAGGAGCTGTCCTGTGGTGTTTACATTATAATTCTCCTTCCTATCTAGGCAAGATGTTATACAAATAGAAACTTGGTGAGGCAACTCATACTTAACAGGTTTATCATACCACTTGTCATAAGCTTTCTGATTATGCAGATAAGCTAAGTGTATTGTCTGTCTTCAGTCTTTGCCAATGATTGTTTGCTTGAAGAAGCATTTAGATTGTGTGGCTATGAAGGACTATTCTATTCATTTTCTATGTTAAATGTACTTAATTAAAGAAATAATCTCAAGTACTTCGTAACATAGATACTATTCAGTCAAAAATAGCTTTTGGACAAGAGTCATCAGTTCCTCAAGGTATTGGAAAACATATTAGTGATGGGACCTAAGGGGTAATTTAATTTTTTTCCTCTCCACTCCTACTTTCTCCAGTTTAGATATGTTTCATGTAACTTAGTCTTTTTCCATTAAAAAAAAAACAAAAAAAAAACAAACAAAAAAAACCCTAAAAATTGTATTCAGCATTTTGATTGTTAAGTTCTCATCATTTGCTGATAAAAGCTACTATTATTTCATGATCGGTTTACCTGATTCTGTATTTGCTTGCAAGGGTTTTTATGCAAATCTCTGGTTCTCGTTAATGCTTATAGATGCATTCACATTTTTATTATTGACTACTGGGACAATAAGGTTTTCCGGGTTTTTTGACATTTCTTTTCAATTTAAAATAATTATGTTGCCACTTATGGTTCATTGAGTTTCAGCCGTATTTTAAGGACATCTTACTTTAACATGCTATAGTACTTTCTTCTTTCTCTGTTACATGCAGTTTCTCTTCTAAAAAGTAAGGTTGATTTTTGTTCTTTGTAATTTCTAGAGTTTCTCTTTTATCCCAAATGCACTGTAAAGCTTTAAATACATATGTGTGATTTCAGATTTACATAACAGCATGTCTAAGCCACTTCCACATTCTACATTTTGGCTTCTTTTTATGTATAGTCCTACTTGCAAATATATTTTGCCAGTCAGTTTTGTTTATTATCTTGCTCATACAGACTTAGCCCCCTTTGCTTCTGGCTCACTTAGTCTATTGTTTAAGGTAATGTAGGAGGTGGATACAGAGAGCAGTATTAGCCTTTATTATACACATCCTCTTTTTATTTGTTCTTTCACAACCTTTAAATCACTTAATTCTTTTATTACTTTGCTTTTACCTAGCTTTTGGAAAAGGGTGATTACATGTGTATTTCAAGCTGATGCAATATAGAATAGATCCGTGATATCTCAACCTCTTCTCTGCCAAGCCTTATTTTAAACAGCCAAACATCTTGATCCTTTTTCCTTCTAGTCATGATCAAAGGAGAATTTTTAGATTTCTCTCTGAAGCTGAGTCTCCCTGTTAACAGTTTATGTAATACAGCATTTTGCTAGTCTTCTTTTTGTGGTACTTTGTACTGCTCATGGATTTCTAAAATGCAAATTTGGGGCTTGTTGCTGCTCATCTTTTCGCTCATCACGAATTTAAAATATCGTGTTCTTAGGTGCTTTTTAAAATGTAGAATATTTCCTCTTGATTTCTACCCCCACCCCTCCTTCTCAGACTGTATTGGGTGTTAGGCTTGTTTTTTCAGATATAGCATTTAGGGACTTCTGAAGAAAGTTCATAAGATACCTCCTTTGAAGACTTCAGATAAAGTTATGTTGAGAATATTGTGATGATTTTAAAAATCAATGCAGTAATGGGATATGGGATGGGGGGTAGTTGAAGAATATCTAGGGAATCTCAGGGGATTCAGAGTATGGGTGATATCCATGATAAAACGTCATCTGGTCAGGGAGGAGTTGAACAACTTTTTGTGTTTTCCTTAGTTCAAGCTGACATGAGAAGTTGGAAACACCCAACCATCAGATGCCAGGGAAACAGGGTAAGCTGGCAGTGGGCTTGAGGGGAGGGATAGGGCACAAACCAAATTGTATATTAAACAGTAAAGACCATCCAAGGCAGGTGTGTTTTAAAGCTGGTTACAATCTCTTTCTTCCTGTACTGTTACGCTAGTTCATAGCGCTGTTAAAAATGAGAGAAACTTTAATGTTTTGAGGAATCAGTCTTGCAGATAGATGTGGTAGAGCAGATCCTCACATCTCGGTGATGTTAATCTGTAGGTCCATATCACTTGTAGTAGGAAACATAAATCTGCAAGGAATTTTATTTTAATGAAGGGGTCATGTAGCATCTAGATTTCAATAAACTCTGAACTTTTTTGGAAGTACTAGTTTTGAGCACAGAAAAGGGGTTCTGCTTTAGGAAAGCTGTGCAATCTTGATGTTTTTTTATCTTACACTGAAACCATCTTTTAAAAATACAGCATTTTTCTTTTCAAATCTTAAATATTCTAATAACTGTAGACTAAAAAATAACACTTAAGGACTTATTCTGTAAGGAGGCTGTGACATTTCTTATAAAAAGTTGGTTTTCATAATATGTGCTTGGTTTTTAGTAATTATGATTCACTTCCAGTTTTGAAAGCGTGACTGTAGAGAGTTCAGGATATGCTTTAATGTTATTTAGAAAATAAGGGTGGACTAAGAGGTGGAAAGCATTATGGTTGACAGAATTGATAAGGAGCTTTGTAAAAAATAAGGAATGTTGGTGAATGGACTGCATTTTGCTTCATCAAATACAGTAGGGAAATCCGTGGAATGATTTTGGAAGGAATATTTTTAACTTCTTACTGATGTTATTTAAAGGGTCATGAATTCAATAGTCACATTTTTGTAAGACTTTTTTTCCCTAGAATAACCATCTGTGATTTCTGTAAATGTAAAAGTACAGATGAAGATTCACAAATTTCTTTTAATACATTGGTGGTGAGCTCATATGATGAGGGACAAGATAAAAGAGAATTCTTTTCTTTGGAAGAGGTTTTGAGGTTGTAACAAAATTTGCTATATGCAGTCTGAGAGGTACGATATCTAAATTGCATAATCTTGCTTGGGGAATTCAGCAAGTAGCGATAAACGAAAAATAATGTTAGATAGTAAATTCTGGGAAGAAAATGTAAAATGTATTGTTTCATTAGATAATCCATGTCATCATGTATTTTATTTTATTTTTTCAGAGTAAAATAAATGGTGCTTTTGTCATCTAATTAGAAAAGAATAGTATATATATTAAAGCATAGGAATGTTGTGGTAGATAGACTGATGTATTTTAGTAGCAACTTGGGAATATCTGTATATAGCTGAATAATCTGTCAATTTAGGACAAAATAATTTGCAGATTTGTATTAATTCTCAAATTTTTGCCTCCTTCTAAGAATACAACAGACTAAAACGTTGGGGGAATTATGTTTCAGTATAACCTGTTGTGATGCATTTGGATTAGTTTTCTGTCCTTCGTTAATAAATGTGTAAGAAGCTGTAGCTTTCTCAAGGATTAGCGACAGATATGATAGACTAAGCTTAATAGGATACACTTGTATGCAAGGCCTCGGGCCAGTAGTTGAGTTGTCATCTACTCCAAGTTGATGGTTGTGGAATATGTTCAAGTCTTTTGACTTCAAACTTCTGTGCAGTTGAGTCGCTATTAATCATGAGATAGAAATGTGATTTGATTTTTATGTGATAATAGATAAGAAAGATGAGTTCTGGCGAAGCAGCATTTAGTCTCAAAATAAGATGTCCTGTCTGGATACTGAGACCACGATATAATGGCGATAAGTGCCATAGCAATGCTTAAATAATAATAATAGTGCCACAGCAATTAAGGGGCCCATTAATGTGTAAAGTAGATGTTCCAAATCTTCTGATTAGGATTTCCTTCCATTTCGGGGCTCATACTGATGTTTGTGGTTTGGGTTTTGAGAAGCAAGTTCTTCAGCAGTGTGTGTGCATGTTTCTTTACACAAGTCTGCTGAAATATCTTTGCAGTTTGAGCAGGGGTGGGTGTTACATATTAAAAAAGAAAGATGCTCCTGTGAGCAGCTGATGATCAGGAAAGTTCTTAGCGGCTGAATAGAGCTGGTTATTCAATATCAGATATAACTTAACTAGATCATATCAGAAGCAATCTTAAGTTTGCAGAATTGATCTGTATTACTGTAGAGCTTTGAGTAACCAAAGGGCAGTCTGCTAGAATACTGGACCACAGTTCTATGTAGCATTCAGCAGTAGAGCTGACATTTTCAAAGGAACTTGTCAGACCTCTTTGGTATATCTGTATTAAAAATACATGTTCTTATATTCTTAATGGTCTGTAAATACTTTATCTGGGATATTGTCAGTGTGGATGATTTTCTGTAAACTGGTGGCTGCTTTTAGCTGTGATGTAAAAATATACTGTAACGAAAATTAAATTTTTAGATTTGTTTCATGGAGGCAAAATACATTTCAGTTTTAAAACTTGATGTTAATGTTATAGCCAAAATGGATGAATTTTTTTCTTAAGTCAAAAGGCATCAATTGATAAAGCAAGGAGGGAGGTGTTATTTAGAAACACTGGCATAATATCAAGGGCAATTTACATTGGAGTTATGCATCTTAAAAAAATAAATTAAAAGCTTATTTCATGGTTGAAAACATTTTCTGGTTTCAGTGTAGTTTAAATGAGTCCTATTTTCAGTGGAGGTGAATATATGTATCTGAGGACACATTTTGGGTCTGAAAGTCGAAGTTGTAAGAAATGCTAAACCTTCATATATTGTGTTATAAAGTTGCAAAGCTGTGTGATATGTATAAAGAAGTAAATAATGTTTGCAGGATCTGCAGTTGCATGTTTGTAATAAATGGGAAAAAGTTGCTATTTTTATTTCTGACCAAAATACAGAAAATACAGGTTATGTTTTTTCTTGTCTGTTTTTGGTTGGTTGGTTTGTTTTGCGTAAAATTTTTGAGAATGTTATTTGATTATGTTTTCTAACTTCTAAAGCAGATTTAGAAGAAAGTATCAATGAACACGAGTTGGAGCCTTCACCTCCCAAAGGAAAAAGGAGGGGTCGTAAGGGAAAGCCAAGAAAAACAAATTTAAAAGGGCAATCAGAAGACACTAGATCTACGTCCTCACATGGCACAGATGAAATAGAAAGCAGTTCCTATGTAAGCAGTAAATATGCTAAACTTCTTAGAAGACAGAATTGCATATTTCTTCTCTGCAAATACAATTTTAATTAAAATTTGCATTTGTCTGAGCCTCCAGCTGGTGGCCACAGGCTTTTAAAATTACAACCTTATTTGTAACCCAGCAGTATATTTTAGTAAAATGTTTTTCTTTCAGAGAGACAGGTCTCCCCACAGAAGCAGCCCCAGTGATACAAAACCTAAATGTGGATTCTGTCATGCAGGTGAAGAAGAAAATGAAGCTAGAGGAAAGCTTCATATATTTAATGCCAAAAAGGCTGCAGCACACTATAAGTGCATGGTGAGTAACAGTATTGTTAACCAGTGTTATGTGAATTTTCTCTGAATTGCTATTTTAGATTTTAATACAGTACCCTCACATGTAATTATGCATGAGTATTGTCTGTGTGCTGATGATCTCTTTAAGCGCTGAAGTGTTGCGAAGTGAGCAATTCATTTATTTTCACTGCGGGCAACATGGATAAAAGTTGGCTACGTGCTAAGAGATGGAATTAGCTCAGGGAGACTCTTTAGCTTATTAAAAATGCTCCCTTAGCATCTAAATGCATACACAATATTTAAAAAGGAAAACAGAAAACACTTTTAACTAAAAGAATCCACTCCAAAAATAAAATACCTTTACTCCAGACATTCAGACAAAATCCGGGAAGAATCCACAAACTTCATGAATTTTCTGACCAGTGGATTCAGGCTGTGTGACTCAAGTAAAGTGGGACATGGAAGTTCTAGAAAACCCTTGCCTTTAGATGATCACATTTATAGACCTGCCAGCCTGAAAAGAATCCGCTAATTTTGATGAACATGAGCAAATAGTGCTATCCTTCATATAACTTGTTCTATGCGTGAGGTAGGGCTTTGAGTAACAAAGCTCAGTGGTTCCTGTTGTACCTCAAAATGAATAAATAGTCCAGACAATCTGTGGAGTATTTATTAAGTGTCTTCCTATACCTAGGCTCACTAAACAGAGAGCTGGTGTATGCCAGCAGCCTTGAGTCTTAGAGTATTCTTCGCTACTTTGTGTACCTGACCTTCAGTTTTAAGACAGTTTAAACTGAATATATCGGGATGATGATAATAGAGATGGTACTTACGTGCTCCGTTGTCATCCCTCAGGGCTTTTCAGGTATGTTGACATCAGCTGTGCCATGAATCTGAATTATATATATCTATCAGAGGGAAGGAAATGGAATATTCCTAAAAAGTTCAGTGGTGTAATTTAATAATATTGCCCATTTATTACTTTGTGTTTTCATCATGTCATTATTTCTTGTCTACTCCTTTGTCTTTTAAAATACATTGCTCCAAGGCAATAAACGTAATTAAAGCAGTCAGGTGGGTACCAGAAGGAATACTCATCATTAATTACTCAGTTAGCATGGTTTTTTTTTCCCTGGTTTGTTGGTAAAGCACATGCTGTCTGAGATCACAGAAGGGGATGTTCAATACTCAGTTATTCCTGCACGTAAAAAAAGTTTCTAATCATGTTGGTGACCTGAAATTATTTTGACTTGCTTGTTTTACAGTTGTTCTCTTCTGGCACTGTCCAGCTAACAACAACTTCAAGGGCAGAGTTTGGTGATTTTGATATCAAAACTGTACTTCAAGAAATCAAGAGAGGAAAAAGAATGGTATGTATCTGCAGAATGTGATGAACATGTTATAGTTCTGCCTCCTTCCTTTTGTGAAACAATCTTTTCCATCTGTTTCTAAACACAAAGATTAAATGTATTGTTACTTTTGGGACAGGTAGCCAGATAGGAATCACCTTAAAAATTAGTGGTGTTTGGGCATGTAGTCTTTAGGGTTCCTTATGACAGTGTGCATAGTAAATTATTATTAGCCTTCCTGTAAGTATAAGAGAGTAACAGCTTTGGATCCTGTGTTACTAAAAGCACACTGTGTAAAACTACAAATAAACTTAGAGAATATGTTCTTGCAGTGACGTGTTTCCAACTGTTTTGATGTTTTAATATGAAAATCATAGAATCAT